ATTTGCAGCCACCCTGATATTTTAATAGACCTTTAACAGGAAAGCAGCAGCGGCAGCAGCCTCTGCAGCAGCAGCAGCAGTAGCAAAAAGTGTCACTCAACCAACCATTTCATTCATCTCCATGTCGAAGATTTAGGGGTGTGTGTGAGAGAGAGTGTCATGGCATCATCCATCATTTTGGACTTGACCTTTTTTTGGCTAAGCTTCTGTTTAGCGGGAGCATCTTTAATTTTGTACATATTTATCTGGGCGAGAGATGAGGTGCGTGCCACACATGCTGCAGCTACAGCTACAAGATACAAGATACAAATACATACGTTGCGACTTTTGAGTTATTTTGGGGCCTTGCTGACAGCCAAACGTCACTTGGCAGACAGCTCAGACAATGAGAGAGACGGAGATGGAATGTATTAGAGCGAGAGAGAGAGAGGGAGAGATAGAGCCAGAAAGAGAGAGATGCACTGTCAGACATTCGGCCAGACATGCCACCCCAAAAGCGAGGCTAAATCTGCACTGCAATGGCTCATTGTTGATGTGGCGTTGATTATATGGTTGTTGGTCCACCATGTCGAGGTTTCACTCTGGTCGCCGTGTTAAAAATGAATTTGTCATCTCTTAACTGTAAACTGTGTGACATGTTTGCGAAAATCGCCAGGCAGACCGTCGCCTAGTCAGCCCGTCAGCCCAGTCGGCAATCAACAGAAATCAGAAAACACAAAGTCCGACCAATACATCAACGTTGCCCTTTCGTTCGGTTCCAAGTCTGATTGATTTGCATCGGCACTCTTCCTCTTTTTTATTTAAACTGACATTTTTATTTCGACCGTCTTGTTATTGTTATTTCTCGTCTGCCTTTCTGCCAAACTGCAATAATTATGTCAGACGCATTTACCGATGTGATCGATGGGATAAAACCAATGCAGTTAACTTCCACATATAGAATCCTTATAAATAAAGTATGCGATTGATAAATAATTGCCATCTTAGCTTTTGTTTATTGGTGTAAAACTACTTGGACCTTTGTCAATGAAATTTATGAAAAGTACTTTTTTATAGTATTATTATAATCTATTTTATTTGAATTTTAATTATTCATTTAATAATCTGATAACATTTCAGCTAAATTCAATTAGAATTAGTAAAATCAAATCTAAATTGAAACCATATAAATTCCGATAAATGTAACTATGATATATTGATTTAATATGATATCATATTATCCTTTAAATATATCTATGATTTAAGATAAGTCTTGTGTAACTATCTGATCCACCGTTCAGTAAATGTGTATTAGATTTTCTAGCAGTTGTTGTATTTTATATGTCTACTAATTTTGCATACGTATGAATCGTTTCAGCTGCTAGTTTATATACCCATCAATAGCCCCGTAATTAAAGCAAGTGCACACACTGCAACAGATGCCCAAATAAATGCAACGTGTTGCATTTGAATTTTATGGATTATGATTTGTCATTGAATTGAGCCCCTGTTGTGCAAAAATAAACGAATAACTGGCATTTGAAAACACAGGTAGACATACAATTAAGCAGACAGCGAGTATGGAGTGTAATTACAACTATCCAGTTATTAATTGATATTCCTACATGAGCAGACACATAAATATTATAATAAGTGGGCCATTTATGAACCAGCAAAATAGTTCCAATTGGACTCACATTAGCCATAAACCGAACGCCCAGACAAATGCTGGCAATCACCTCCATGGTTACATGCTTCCGTGCTCTGTGTAATTGGAGAACGTTTAGCTCTAATTTTGAATGCCAATTGGCATCAAAATGGTATCCAGGTGGGTGGGTATCTGTACCTGTGAGTGGCCGCCGGGCTATGTGTGTTTGTAGACGCATCGTTCAGATCATTGGACAAATTGCCATTCGTATGATTGCGTTGATTTTGTTAAAGAGCGTGAAATTGATATGCAATTAAAATGATATTTTTCCACGTGAGTGGCTGGATTTATTATATAATAATTTCGGCAGCGATATTTATCGACGGCACGTCCCAAATGCAAATCGAAAATACAAATTAAAAAACAAAAAAATTATATATATATATAAATATATATGTATCAAATATACGCCGTTAGCAGCTGTCACCGATTAAACTCAATGTGCGTGAAATATTAATTTTTAAGCGCGAATTTTAAATACAGCAAAAATTCACAAATTGCAAAGCTTCGATTCATACAGCCGATTTAAAGCTGCTACTGAGGCGAGCAGGATTCTTGTATCCTGCTTAATTTGTGGTTGCAAGGACAACGTCTGCCAACAACAACAGCAACAACTGTGACTGCTGTGGTTAATGGCTTTTGAATGCAAATTCAATTTTATCGTACTGTTCACTTTTTAATAAGATTTGCCAGCCAAAAGGTGCACCGTGTTGGAAATGAAAATTAGTTGCAAGCGCAGCCTAAAAGAAAACCCCGAAAAGAAAAGCCAAGAAAAACCAGAATTCAAATACGCAGCGAGACACGCGACTGGCAACTGCAAAATATAAAAAAGCAAGAAAAAATGCTGTTTGTGGCGCCACAAGCAACCCAGCCAACTACCCCCCGCCCCGCCGATGCCACAACAGGCTGTAGCCAAAGGCGAAGCGGTGGTGGTTCGCACACACATACACAGAGACACACACACTTTTCGATATGGCCAGCACTTTTACCTTTCGTGCTTAGAGGGCACAACCTACAATCCAACAAATTGCGTTTTGTGCAAGAGTGGGTGGGAAACTGTCAGAATGAATGAGTAGACTGGTCACACCTACTGTCAGTCAGCTACGGGGCAGTAACTACAACAACAACGTAAAGAGCAACAACAATGGTATCATTTTGAACTGACCAAGGCGTTGCCATTGCTCTGCGTCTGCGTTCGCTTGGCTTTGCCTTTGAGTGTTGCCCGTGCAGAGCCCACAACAAAACAACTTTAAAGTTCACTTACATTTTAATATGTTCCTACACATCAGTTCAGATCGCTTTTTTCACTTACGCAAATGGTGTTTAAATATGTTTGAGCACTGGTTGTATATTTTAAATTGAATTAAGAAACTTTTTAATTTTTATGAAATATAATTAAAAGATTTAAATATTAATAAAAATATATTAGAAAAATTAAATGAATAAGAAATAAAAAATTTAAATTTCATTCATATCAGGATTTCAAGCCAGTAAATTTACAAAATAAACCTTTATTATGATTCTTTGATTAAAAAATTTAAAGGAAGTGGCTGACCTCAACATTAATATTTATAAAATATAAATGAAAAATGTTTATTTAGAATTTCTTGAAGTTAAAAACACCGTATCAAAGGTGTTTTCTATGTAATAAATACAGTAAATACAGCTGTGAGCAGTTCAAAAAGTATTTAACTATCAATAAAATCAATATTATTCTATTGCCTTTGATTTAATCGCCCTTTAATACAAAATGTAATAATATACACTTACGTTTCATTTGTGCCCTAATCGACTATAGTCCAGCTATCAAAGTTGCTAACTTCACCTGAAATTCGAACTCCATCCTTGGAATTTTCTTTACTATTTCCAGTGATCGATTTCTTGTATCTTTAAAGCTAATGAGCAATTCACTGTTACATCAGCTCGTAGATAGTAATAGGAAAATGCCAGTCATATTGGATGGGCTTTAGCCCAGCTGCAATAAATGTAAATACTCATATTTACTTATTATCTATTCGAATACTTGCTAATCACGCAGCTGCCGCCCTTTGCTGGCAAAAATATCTCGATTCATATATTTGACTGTTGCTCATGAAGCTGCATAAAGTTGGCTCTACGCCCAGTCAGAAATTATTACCAACCCAGACGCTATTATTTCCAAGCGCATGATTTTATTTTGCGAGGCACTCAAACTCCGTGGGGATTACTCCTTTGATATTTCGGTTGGGCGCTTGCTTCATTTTTGTGCAAATAATGTGCTGGCAGACAAGACACGATGGCTTCCTTAAGACTTCTTCGCTATTTAGTTGAAGTTGGTTTTTCTTAGCTATCGAAGCATAGAAAACTTCTCAATTACTTTAGCTTGCAAGTTGTTTAATATTTTGCTGATGTCGCTGACTCCGGAAGCGGCCCGGCTCGGCCTGGTCTCTGTGGCCATTTGCTTGACCGCTCGTTACGTGCTGCATGTGTTGCCCTATCAGCATCAACTACGGCGCTGCTCACATGCAGCATCAGTGGCAGCACAACTTGAAACTTCCGCTCTCAAGTTTGGGGTTAATTATTTTCCACTTTTGTGCTCAATTTCAAAATACTTACTTGTGAGCAGTAAGTAGTCACAAACTTCGCTTGAAGTATACAAAAAACTTTCTTATAAACTAAGACGGGGCTTAGTATAAACTGGCTCAACAAAATTGTAAATATATTGATTGAAGTTCTAAAACACTCTCTCAACTTTAAAAGAGTTAGTGCTTAGCAAACCTTTCGAGAACGAAATATAGTTTAAATCTACTAAATTCTAGCATAACAATCAAATTACTGATATAATTGTATTCATCGTTTTAAGGCTCTCTAATTATATTTTTGTTATGTTTCAAACGTATAGTTAGATAAGTATATTTAGATAACTCCAAGCCTTCAGTAGATATATTGTATGTATCAAGTCTTGTAAATATAAAAAACACTTAAACAAATAAAATCTACAATTGAAAAATTGAAAATATTTAAACCAAAACTAAACAAAACTTCTTCGGGTTGAACTACCACGGAGAACGTTGCTTTGAGCTATGTAGCATTTATTTGATCTGCAAGCCTTTCCCCTTGGGAAGTCTTTTGATGATAGATTCAAGCTTCGGTCTTTGTGTCTAATTCATATATTATATAACTGAAACATCTCTGAAACATCCTGCATATTCTGTATATATTTAAGAACACTTTTGTTAATTGTTTTATCTTTACAAAATAATAATTTATTAATGCTATATTCATATTCTTTCTTAAAAAATATTTATATATAATTTTTTCTTTTCTTTTTCAGGTGATAACTCCATAAGTAAGTAGAAATGGTTTCTTACCATTGCGCAACAACGAACCACAACATATTAAATTGGCTAGATAAGTACAACAAATTGCAATCGTTGGGGCTGACAATGTTCGAATGAGTTGGCTTATTCAAAATGAAACACAAATGAACAATATAAAAGCGAACTTATGCAGTTGGCCAAAGCAATGATGTCTGGAACCACAAACATATTTAAATGCTATTATAATACACGTTTTTATTTACGGTCGGGCTGAAGGTTATGTTGAAAGCCGCAAATGAAATAGCCAGCTATTTAAGCCGTTTCGCTTTGGCCATTTGAGTTTTCCATTGAGTTTTTGCCTGATATTTTGGCTGTTCACATTTTTTCTCAGCCTTGTTGTCGACTCTATTTGAATGGGCACGAAAACAAGCTGCAAAAGTAGAGATAAAAGCATTAAGAGTGAAATTATAAACATAATTACATTTTCTATTATTTTACTTATTTCTTTTACTTTTGGTAACTGCGGCTTTCCTTTCATATTTTGCCTGAATAAACTTATTTGCTCCAAAGCATATTCACATTTAGTATTCAGCGTTCAAAGTTAGTTTGGCTGCCATTTTGAATCGAGCCTCGATTCGTCTAGACGCTTGGCCTCTCCCTGAGGCTCTGACCAAAAAGTGAACCAATCAACCGTCAACCATTTTCGAGCAATTCGACGGAAACGACGCTTTTTCATGTTCGTGACCAAAGTTTAAGAGCGCTGCGGGCCTGGATAAAAAAATATATTTTACCTGAATTAAATTGAGTAACATAAAAACACGAAGCACAGTTTTTTGTGTATCGCAAAGATACACACACATAGTACATATATGCAGACTGTTCTGCCCTTTTTTGCGTTTTTTCGTTGTACTTTTATGCTCTTACCAAGCTGCTGAAGGTAAGAGAACTTTTTCATAAAGAATGTAGACAGCATATTTTTAGCAGCTGGACTTATTAACTTGCAAGCGTCAGTAATGGAACTTTTCAGAATGATTGCGAGGTATACGTGCAGCCCAGTTACAGCTTTCTTGAATATCCAAAATTTGTCAGTTGTAACTTGCAAATAAGAGAAATCGAAGCCCAACTTAACCAATTCTACCAGATTTGTCAATGATAAATACCTGACACGAATGAAGTTCGCCTTAACTAGATAAAGATCAATTATCTCAATATTTTGAACTTATGTTTGAAATATGTGTCAGGGCATTACGAATTCGATGTTATGACTTTAGCAATTCCTTCTTGATTCCGTAGTTGTTCTGTTTCGGTTTCTGTTGTTTGCTTAGCGTAAAAAATGTACAAAGAGAGAACAAAACTCAAATCGAAACACGCTACCAGTTTTGGTTGTTTTTGTATTTTTTTCAATGCCTGCCAAGTTGGCCCCACTTGTAATATCATTTGTCGACGTCTATTCCTGTGTGTGAGTGTGTGTGTCTGCGTGGATGTGGTGGTCACTTCGGTGCCCGGACGCATCGGTATTGGTAAAGTGGTTGCAAAGGAAATAATTACATGATTGAGGCACTCACACACACGTGTGTATACCCAATGACAACAACAACGGTCACCTTCTTGTTGTTGGTGGTGGTGGTGCAAGTTGTATTGGTGGTGCTGTTGCCAGCGTTGTTGTCTGATCGAACAGAACACGTTAGCTTGGCCAGCTCCAGCTCCAACTCCCGCTCGAGCTATGAGACCATTGCATGACGGGGTCGTGTGTAAACACATAGCTCTGTGTGTGTGTATGTGTGTGTGCTTACAAACGCCGGCTATGAAATGAATGGCGGCTTTGTATGCCGAGTTCTTGTTTTGTTGTACTTGCTTTTTGTTGTTGCTATTTCTTTTCTTTTTTCTTTGTTGTACATGTTGTTGTTGCCTTTTTTTTTGTATTTCATGCAAAACCCGCAACAATGACGGCGACGACGGCCCAGAGCAATTATTGTATCGCTTGCACGGTGCCAGCAGCAGCAGAGCAGCAGCAGACGCAGAAGCATATGTCCCTTTCGTTGACCTCTCTTATGCTCTGTAGCTCCTACCCTCAAGCCGCATTGGACGACATAGCTTTTACCTTATTGGCTAGCTCATGCGTTAAGGCAAGGGAAGTGCATAAATGCGATATAAAACATATTTCCGTTCCATATACGACAATGTATATAATATACTTATATATGTTTTACCCGAAAGATATAATATTTAACTACTTTATCTACACTTTTGCCCCGTGATAACTCTAATCACTAAAACATGAATATAAAAATATATCGTTAAAACTTGTCTTTATGATACCCATGCTATGCTATGCTATGCTAACTTTCGCAAGACTATTCCATTGTCATTATGAACTAATAATCAAAAGTCATACATTTTGAAAATAAACATCTATAATCTTAACCATATTATAGCAATCTTTCTTATTAAATTATTAACGGCAATTACTCCAAGGGGTACGTTCTACCTATCATCAGATTCACTTTTAGCTACCTTGTAAACTACAATTAGCTTGTCTAACTATGGCTAATAGTTCGTAAATAGTTGGCCAATATTTACATGCGGCTTGTGTTGTGGTCGTATTATGAAAATATTTGCTTACAAATTGCTCATCTCTGGACTTCCATTGTCTATTGACGTGTCGTCGGACTATTCACTCCCGCTGTGCGAACGACTCGCCGTCTTGACGAGGGCTTCGAAAACGTTTTCATTACAATAGTGCGTAGCCACCGCCGCCGCAGTGGCCGCCGCTGCTGCTGCTGCCGATCGGACAAATGTGTCAGAGCTGAAACGTCATGATTAATGATGGTGGCAAGCATGTGGGCCCGAAGGCCAGGCCACTGAGTCCAGACTGGGCTGCAGTTAAAGGTCGATACTGGCACAGCCTGGGGGTAGGGCAGTGCGGCCTGCCAACTGGGCCATGGGAAGGGACGCACAGACACTGGGAATGCTTGGGCTTGAATTTGGGTTTGAGTATGGAAATGGAAATGCGACCACAACTGGCACTGGCTGTGGCATCATTCTATCAAGGTAATTTAGACAAGAACACAAGAACACGACACCCGAAATGTAAACAACGCACCGAACACAAACTGAAACACTTGGCAAAGCATTAGGCGAAATTAGGAATTAATCCTTGGCTGCACTCGCGGCGACTCGTTGAGCAGTGTTGTGTCTTGACCATGGCAACAACTGCTCAAAGGGCGGGCACACGGCTTCGTAATCAAAACGAAAGACAGACAAACATATAGAGAGGGGTTGAATATGTGTGTAAGCATATGTTTAAATAACTACCACACACTTTGATGAATATGAGAATAATATTGCTCTTAATCGTGAAGAGCTTAGATGGAACAAGAACAAGCTGTTAGCGAGAGGGCTGTTGAGAGCAGAATGGTCTTTAAGATAGACATATTTATACATAAAGAATAGTTTATAATTTTCCTTTGTCTGCTTAAGGTTATAAAGTATTTGTCTTAGGTATAACATGATTAAGCTGTGAATAAATAATGTATCGAAACTTATAAAAATAAGCTTAGTTCGTGTAACTAAACTTATGATCTGAAAATCTTAAGACAAATAGCAATTCAAATCAAGAACTTATAAAATATCTCATAATATGTAGTATAAAAAATAGCCCAACTATTTTCAATATACGAGGGTTGTCTTATACATTTGCGTACAAAAATTATATAAAAATGATTAACAACGTAGCGTAGCAACTTTTTAATATATACAACACATTTTACAGAAACGAGTATGCGAGGCGAATTTATTGCTCAATGCAGGTGGTTATTATGTTCATATACTTGAAACCGTATTACCTGTTATTAAACTGCAGTTCCCTTCATTTTCGTTTCAATTCGGATGAATTTTTCGGAAAAAAAATTATTCACGCAACGAATATAGAAAACTGAAGACAGCACCAGCTGCAGCAGTTGTCTGTCAATTCCATCAAATCAATTCAATTGATATTACGTTTAGGAAAAAGAGAGAAAAAATTTGTTTGCGCTTGTTTTTGGGCTCTGGGATGCTCTGCAGCAGAAAGATGCGCCATTGCCTTAATTGAAACCGTTTAAATTGCAATTAATCAAACGGCTGAGCCAGCGAATGTTGCACAGTTGTTGCCGAGTGGCGCAACGAATTCCCTCAACGGGAATGGGCAGTTCCTCTACGCTGTGAAAACTTCCTGCATTAAACTGCAAAGCCAGTGCCACAGAGAAAAAGAGAAAAGAAAAGAGACTGAGTGTAGCTCTGAATTACTGTCACCGGTGACTAATTTTATCCTTTGGCTGCTTTTGTTTTAATTCTGAACAAATGAAGAAGCAGCCAGCTCCAGGACATTCAGAACACAGCCACACGGTAACTGTTTAATCGCTTTCGACATGCGGATTTAAGTTTTTTTGGGCCGCAAGGAGTGGGATCTGTGATAAGTGAAAATATGGACGACACCCCTCGCAGGCGTTGAGCAGGCAATGGGCGGATGAGGATATTGCCACTGTGGTGTGCACAGCAACAACCCACACAAACCACCCGATAACGCCATCCAAAACCCAGTACCCGAAGCCCAAACTCAGCACCGACCCGCGCTCCACCGGACGCACGCACAGGATGCGAGCAGCGGATGCTGCAGATGGGAGACTCAGGGGCTGAGAGGATGAGGCAGATGTGTGACTGGGATTGGAACTCGGAAGCTGAGCCTATGCCCGTGGCCTTCTTTTCTTGCGTTCACGTCGCGCACTTCGTTTTTTAAGTGGAAATAAATTAAAAATGGGTGGCAAATCTCTAGAGCAGGAGGAGGCCACAGCAGAAGCTGGGGCGCGTCTGCAACACGCGTTGAAGGCAACGACGGCGGCAAAGACAGCGGCGGCTGAAGGTAAAAGTTTTGGATAAAACAGTTGAACTTCAAAATGTGAATTTGATTAGGATATTTGCATAAAATTCTGTTTCTGCGCCCAGCACTCAGCAAGGGCCCAACCAGAAGGCAAAAGCCAGAATAATACCGCCATAAAATACGGAAAACACACAAAATGAGAGCTGGAGTAGAGTTGGAACGTATGTTCTGTTGCCGGAAGCGGAAGTATATAAGTCAACCTAGATTCTGTAGTGGCATTTATGCTGATACCAAGGACAAATGGGCTTTCTGCTTGCCGTTCTCGCATTTCATGTGCCAAGTTGTCGAAAGCGAGAACTTTAAGAAATTCACGGGAAAATTGACTGGGTGTTGGCTACATTTTGAATTTACAATTTAAAAAGCAAATATAGAATAATGTAAGCTATATATAGAGAAAAACAGATACTAGATAAGTATTGGTATTATACAATATAGGTTCGAGGTTCGATACTCGAATTCTCCCATCAACTCGATTGTAATTCGAAGGCTTTAAATTTTCAAATATTTTGATATCGAACATATCAGAAAATCCTTAAAACTATTTTCAATTACCCAAATAGTCTATTTCCACAGCTTTAAGCTTTTGGGTTGTTGAACAATTGTTAGTAATATAATTGCTCTCTAAAAATATGCCTCTTTGTTGTAACGTATTGATTGTTATTCAATTACTATTCAATTCAATTATTGCTTCCGATCAATCTATAATTGTAACTAAAATAGCATAAAATTGACATTCTGCCCTCCTGACTGGAATACCATAAATTATGCATATGCGCAGGACATGAATATGCTTGCTTCAATAGAGCTTAAACTATGTGACATTTAGCATATGTCGCCACCTGTGTGTAATGTACGATACACATGCACTTGACACAGCCCTGCCCAAGCAGCGCCCCGAGGGGGGCGAGAATGAAGCACACACTCAAAGGCAAAGGGAGCTCCAGCTCAAGCTGGAGCTGGCATAAAATGCAAAACTTTTTGCCAAGCTGAGTTGCTTAGGCAAATCGTATGTGAAACATTTGGCAGGCAGCGATTTATTTAATGTCTTTGGCTCGCTGAGGCACAGACTGAGGCAGTGGCAGCTGCATGTTCGAGTGATTTAGATGATTTATGTCTCAAGACGAACACTCCAGGGTTGAGATTGGCCAGCTACATCCACAACAACACCAACAATAACGACAAGAACAGCAGCACCACCAACTACTAAACTACCAACTACCGCAGCATGTTTTTCGGGGACAAAATTTACGCATGGCTCAAGCATGCTCATATGAATATACATACATATCTACATATATATATATGTATGCTTACGCACTTCGACTCGTTGGCTGCCATAACTCAAATTTAAAGGCGGCGCCTGTGGCAAATTGGAGGCAACATTGCAGCCAGCTACAGCTGTGTTTTACTCATGCGGACGCGAACGCTGGCACCGAACAAATTCAATTATC